ATTTGCCAGAAGAACGGTATTGGAGTGGAGCGTTATATAAGAAGAGTGGGGGTTTGGGGACCGTACGTGAGCGAGGGAAAAGGATGAGGAAAGATTTGGATGTAGAGAAGCGAAAGCCATGGTTGGTGGCTCAAGAAGTTACTGATGTTATTGCAGACTGAAGGAATTGACAGAGATCTGGTATGGATGTGCCAGATGCATAGATGGTTAAGTCATCAACATAAAGTGATGTCCGGGCTCCTGGTGGTAGGACTGGACTATGTCATTTACAGCAAAGGAATAAAGTTGTACTAAGCACACTTCCATGTGGGACGCCTTCGAATTGAGGAAAGGATGATGACGTGGAAGAGGCAATTTTGACCTGGAAGGTACGTTTAGAAAGGAAGGATTTGATGAACACGCCCATGTTTCCACGTAAACCTAAGGAGGACAACTGTTGGAGGATATGGTATCGCCATGTGGTATCATATGCTTTTTTCTAGATCAAAGAATATGGCTAATTCGGATTCATGGCGTGCAAATGCCGATGTAATATATGTCTCGAAATGGGCAAGTGGGTCTGCTGTACTTCGGGCACGTCGGAAACCAAACTGGGAAGGGGATATGAGATTCAAGATACCACATTAAGCGGAAGTTAACCATTCGTTCTAGTAGTTTGCACAAGCAGCTAGTTAGATCTATGGGGCAGTAATCTTGGGTAGGGTACCTGATTTACTGGTTTTAAGAAAGGTAGGATAAGAGCTTCTCGCCAATGAGAAGGAAAATTTCCTGACGTCCATATGTGGTTGAAAATAGTTAAAAGGAAGGATAGAGAAGAAGATGGAGGTGTCGGAGCATACTTTTGAATACCATCAGGGCCTTCATGAGTTGTGGCACGACTGCAATGCAGCGTTGAGTTCAGAAGAAAAAAGGAGCATTATAGGACTCATCAGAGGATAGGGTGAAGGTAATAGGGATGCGTTTCTTTGATGGCTTTAATGGAAGAAAAGTGTGGGGAAAAGGTGAGAGCCACTACTGACCTGGCTGAAATAGTTGCCCAGTTCATTAGCTACTTCGACAGGTTCAGAGATGAGAGTATCTCGAATATGGAGGACGGGTGCAGGATGGGGGGGATGTATGCCTGATAATTTATGGATCCGTCGCCAAACAGCTGAAATAGATGTAGATGTAACTGAGGAAACATAATTTTGCCAGCTATTTGTTTTGTTGTTTCTAATTGTACGGCGAAGATGGGCAGATGCTCTTTTAAAGGAAATAAGGGCTGATAGCTGGTGAGGGGTGCCTCGTTTGTAGCGATAGCCGTTCCAGGCTGCTCGTTTTAAGCGAAGCGCTTTGGTGCAATCAGAATTCCACCATGGAACACATTTAGAGGTATAAGGTCTTGAAGTTCGAGGAATGGCCTGTATAGGCAGCTCTTAGGATCGTGGTTGTAAAACATTGTAGCATATCTGAAATGGGCGGTAAGGGGGGTGGAGGGATAGGTATAGTAGAGAGTGAAGTGAGTATGCCAGTTAGCTCTATCAAAGCACCAGCGTTGAGGATTAGGAAGTGGTACATATGAAGTAGGAAAAGGAGTACTGTGAAGTGGTCACTATAGGGGAAGTGGTCTAGAACTGACCAATGGAAATCTAAATGTAGAGTAGGATCATAGAGAGAGGTCAAGGACATGAAAAGGATTGTTGGTGGCCGCATGTTAAAAAAGTGTGTGGGGCGAATCTGAAAAAATTAAAGAATAATCAGGTTAATTTGTGAAGAGGAAGCGTTTTTAGAGATCGGTTAAGATAAATGTGGCTAGACATCTAAGTCATATAGCATATAGGAAGGTTGGTAAAGGGGATGTCAGGTGATAGTTGCTATGTGTCACAACTATCTAGAAATAGTGTTGAAAGGTTGAAGATGAGGGAAGGATATGGTGGTTTAGGTAAGGGGTTAGATCAAGTGAGGATATTGTATGCGCTTGAGGAAGGAGAACAGGTTGTCGATGAGGCAGTGTGGATTCTGTAAGGATGTCTGATATGTTGGGAGGTCGGTGAAGGAGGATAGGTGTGGAAAAAGCAGAGGTTACGTGCTGTATAAAGCGTGGACAGGACAAGAGAATGTGTGGGAACTGAAGAGGGATG